CCTCACCAGATAAACCATATAGTTAGGTGTCAGATAGATTACATCTGTGAAAAGACTTGTTGGAGAAGCTCCATATCAGCTGTGAAAACTAGGCCAGATGCTAACTATGGAACATACCATCACAAACTCATGTGCAAGTTCACATTAAAGCTAAAGAAAATTTTTAAAAATCCAGAAGAACCAAAATATGGCCTTGAGTCTATTCCATCTGAAAGAAAAAAAAAACCTCAAAAACACGCTGGAGGCCTTGAACACTAATGAACAAAAACCAGATAAAGTGTGGGAGGACATCAAGAATATCATTCATAAAGAAAGCAAAGACAGAGGAGGAAGAAAAGATCAAGATAGTGTCAGAAGAGACTGTGAATATTGCATTATAATTCTGAAAACCCAAAACAAAGGGAAGAAATCTGTAAGTTAAAGAGGTGAACAGAAGATTGCAAAGGGAAATTCAAGAAGGCAAAACAAAGAATTATAATGAAATGTTATTTTTTGTTACAATACTAGAGCTGTAGTCAGAAAATCAAAAGGCATAAACTTTCCACATTTCTCAAGCTGAAGGAACTGAAGAATAAACTCAAGTCTCAAGTTGCAATGCTTAAAGACCCTATGGACAGAATATAGAATGATCCAAGAAGCATCAAAAGAAGATGTTGTTGTTAAGTGCCGTTGAGTCGTAGACGCCTTATAGCAACTGTATAAATGAAAGACCTGGACACTTTCATCCTTTCTCTTGGTTCATAGGGTTTTTTCCAGAGGCAACCTATTTTGAAAGTGGATGTCACTCCTGCTTTCCTGCTTGTTTTAATCAAGGAGTTACATCAAACACTGTCCACTATGGGTAACCATTCTTGCATTTGACACATCAGTGTCACAGTGTGTTCAGCTTCACAGCCATAACCAGTTACCTCTGAACAGCAAGTGGACATACCAGGGCTCTACAACCTAGAAGAATGCTTGACCAAAAACAATTAAAAACAGGCCTGAGGGCCGCAGATTAGAGTCTCGCACCTTTGATTTGGTAACAACTTTCTGTCCACTAGGTCAACTAATTTCTCTCTGTGCTATTGTTGTTGTTAAGTGCCATCAAAGTTTAATTTAAAAAAAAAAAGGAATACAGAGTCACCGTACCGAAAAGAATTGGCTGACAGAACAATTTCATGAAAAGAATGTGATCAAGAACCAATGGTAATAAAGGAGGAAATTCAAGCTGTTCTGAAGGAATTGGCAAAAATAAGGCTCCAGAAATTGAAGGAGTATCAACTGACATATTTCAACAAACAGATGCTGCCCTGGACATGCTCACTAGGTTGTGCCAATTAATCTGGAGAACAGCCACCTGTCCAACTGACTGGAAGAGATCCATATTTATTCCCACTTCCAAAAAAATTGATCCAACAGAATGTAGAAGTTATCAAACAATGTCACTCATGTCACATGCAAGCAAAATCTCCAGAAGATTATTCAAAAATGACTAGAACAGTACAACAGCAGAGAACTGACATAAATATAAACAGGGTTTAGAAGACCCCAGGGATATCATTGTCAATATCAATCAGGTGGATCTTGACTTAAAGCAGAGAATACCAGAAGAATGTCTATTTGTGTTATATAACTTCTCAACATGCCATGCCTATTTGACCCTAAAGTTCTTCCCCCACAGGTCTCAAGTCACCTACTCTCCAGTCACTGCTGCATACTCACAGGTCTCTCTGTGCAGTCAATCTCTCTCCCACCACTACACATTGTATAGTAAATCATTTCTAGTTGAAAAGCTGTCTGTCCCTTTGCCTAGTTATTACTTCCTTAGGGAAGACTTTGAACTCTCCATGTCTTAAATCCTTTCTGTGTTTGTTTGTTTATTTATTTATTAATGTGAAAACATATCTGTCACTGGAGTGAGGGAAGGAGTAGTATCTGTTCTTGTTCATTGTGATAGTTAAAGGTTGTTTGTCAGTCAGGTTTGACAGTTATGATGTAATCATTCCCTTGATGAGATCTGATATAATGTAAATCACCTCCATGATGGTATTTTACTATGAGCAGCCAATTAGTTGAAAGGAGTTTCTTTGGAAGCGTGGCCTGTATTGAATATATATCAACGTCTGGCAAAGCTCTGTGCCTTCTCTTGATCTGGACCTTACATCTGGCTTGTCACTGGTTCTATGGTTCTTTGCCAACTTCCTGCCTTGCCAGTCTTGGGTTCATCGGCCTCTGCCACTATCTGAGTCAGAAGAAGCCTGGTTCAATGACTTAGGACTTGCCAGCCTGTATAAATATTTCATTGAGACAAAGCTCTCTCTCTCTCCAGTGGTGTTGCTTCTGTAGAAAACCCAGCCTGACACATTCATAAAACAGTATTTAGTGTCTTACACACAAATATGCAGTGGATACTGATTGAACATAAGAATAGACCTTACAATGATACTGTGAGGGATTTATTATATTCATACTCTCTATACTGAGGTTCCTATAAATAATCTGTGTGACAGTAAGTACCTGAGCAATGATTCAAACAGTTAATACTCATTCCTTAAGATTCTGTTAGGCACAAGTTTGTTTAGGTTTTTTCTCCACATTCCCAAAGCAATTTTTATGTCATGTTGTTGAAACTGATAAATAGAATATAGACAACAAAGATAGCAATGCTGCAATTCATTACTATTAAATAAAGTAATGATTTTTAAAATCATTAACAAAGCAAATCTAAAGAGGTATGTTACTTAAAATTATTTATGTGTTTTACAAATGCAGAAGCTGAAGAACAGAGAGGTTAAATAGTTTTTTAAAGCTGTGAAAATTGGAGCCAGTATTTCTGTCTATGTGCGTCTGAAGCAGAAATAGTACTCGCTAATGTAGTTTTCTGGAAGAAGGATCTAGGGAAAGATATAGATATTGTGAAGGTAAAACTGAGCATACAATATGAAAGTGGTTTATGCCAGGATAGAGACAAAGTTAGGTATTAGGGAACTGAGGACACAGACGGTTACTTGAAACCACTCTCCCAACGTAATGCTTGCTCTTGATACTGCATCCCCTGGAGGAAATGGACAAATGCATATTTCAGGACTTAAATAGAAGTGAATCTGTTTCTTTTAAGAAATGAGTATGAACAATGACATTGATGTTGAGGCAATGTTGTCTAAGGCATATTATACACATTGTACACTTGAAGTGAAAATTCTAGTTAATATATAGTTATTTTGCATGAAACTACTTGATTTGTTAACAATAACCACATCACTTTTTTCTGTTAGCGGTAAAGCAGTTTCGAAGACCCACCAGAACCAGTAGTTTAAGATTATAGTGCAATCACACTAATGATGTGGAGATGAAGGAGGATATTTCAACATTAACTTAACTGGAATAGTTACTAGTCACATGTAACTAGTATTCTCATTTGTCTAAAGCTCTACAGAAATCTCACTGCAGAAGTTTAGCAAGATGGATTCTCACTAAAGAGGTTTCTTGCTGATAGCAATTATATTTAGCTCTGTTCTAACATCCCTGGATGGAAATAATGAATTTCTTTTCTACTAGATTCTGGCTTCTGTTATAGAAAAAAAAAAAAACAGGTCAGGGCTCTCTCCAAAATACTGAAGAGCAATGATGTCAGTTTGAAGACTAACTAAAGTGTACTTGATTCTGGCCATGGTCTTTTCAATCATCTGAGAGCTGGAATATGAACAGGGTGACAGAAGAATTGTTTCCTTCTAGTCATTACAGTAACAATAACAAAGTTCAACAAGCAGCAAATAAATGCTGGAGAGGTTGAAACTTTTAGTCACTGCTGGTGAGAATGTAAAATGGTACAGCCACTAAGGAAGACTGTCTGGTGCTTCCTCAAGAAGTTGAAAATAGAAATGCCATTTGATCACAAAATTCCACTACTGGGAATATGCCCTAAAGAAACCAAAACCACGACTCAAATAAATGTATGAACACTCATGTTTATTGCTGTGTTATTAACAATGGCAAAGAGATGGAAACAGCCCAAGTGCCCATCAACAAACAAATGGATAGAAAAATTATGTACATTCACAAAATGGAATATTATGCAGTACTGAAACACAATTCATAAAACATTACACAAAATGGGTGAGTCTGGAGGAAAAATTGTACTGAATGAAATATCTCATTATACCGGGTGAAATATCTCGGTGGCAAAAGGACAAATACTGCATAACGCTGCTGTTGTAAAACAGGACTGACATGGAGGTCAGGTGGAGAATAGGAAGAGTGGATAGATAATGGACACTACATTGGATCAGATGAGAACTGTCTGAAAGAAATACATGATTAGGCATTATATGTATGACAATCTGGAACAAGAGGTGCATTGTAAAATGGGCTAGAAGTGGGCAAAGGAAGAAAATGTGCAACAATGAATTATTTAAAAAAATAATTGATTCCTTTGAGTTGTGATATTGGAGTAGAATACTGGATGTCCCATAGACTGCCAATAGAATGAACAAATATGTCTTGGAAAAGGTGCAGCCAAAGTGCTCATTGGAGGCAAGGATGGTGAATGAAGCTTTTTCTCTCACACTTGGAGATGTTACTAGAAGAAGCGATTTCTTGGGGTGAAAGGAAGCGAAAGAAAGGAAAAAGTTCAACGAGATAGATTGGCACTGTTGCTGCAGAAATGGACTGTAGAGTATTAGAGATGGTGAAGATGGCACAGGATAAGACAGGATTCAGATCTGTTGTTTATATGGTGCCTACTCAACTCGATGGCACCAAACAACATGATTGTTTTGCCACTGGGAAAGGCACAGTGCTCGGCACAGAACAGGACGACTGCATAGATTACAAATTGTATCTGTTTCTCATAGGATATAAATGTTATGTGTCTCAAGTTCCACTTTCGGTTTGGTGGTGTGAAGAACACAAGAAACAATTTTACAGAGATGTGAGGCCTGTGATCTGTTCCTTGTCTGCACTATTTGCCAGACAATTTATGCTTGCCCTTAGTCAAAAGAGAGGCGAGCTAACTTGTGGCTGTGATGGCTGAATGGTTAAGGTGTTGGACTCGAAATCCAATGGGGTTTTCCCGCGCAGGTTTAAATCCTGCTCACAGCGTCTGAGTTTTCTCAATGTACAATCTACTGGTCTTTAAGGAGAAAGCTCACTTTTTACGAGTAGAAATTAGATGTATTTTCCAGCATTTTGCCTTCTTTGAACAGCAAAGTCATTTTAAAGCAATTACGTATTTGTTAGTGAGTTTCTACTTTCTGTCTACCAAAATGTGATTTTAAATTGTGGGTTCTACTAAACTCTTTACTATTTGTTGCAGTTTTGGTTTATCTTTTAATACGTTTATCTGATAAGCTAAACAACTTTTGCAACTAATTTCTCCAGAATGAGGTTTTATTTGAATTTTGGAAATATGAAAAATACCTCTAGAAATATATTCGAAATATTTTGGGGATGATTTTTATTTTTTTTTAAATTTATTCTTAATTTCAATGAAAACTTACAGACTTTGGATTTCCATTCCTTCATTGTTGCACTTTTCTCCCTGCCCACCCCTCTCCCCCCAGTACACTCTTTTGTTTGAAAAGTAAAGGAAAAATTCTTTCATTGTTTTACAATCCCTCCCCCCAGGTCCACTCCACTATGTTCTGGATTCCTGTCATGACAATAATACCTAATCACATATCTCTTTTAAACAGTTTTCTCCCTCATCTGTTTCAATGCAGTATCCATTATTGAACTCAACTTTCTCAGTCTCCCCCTAACCCCGATATCAGTCCTGTTTTACAACAGTGGCACCGTGCAGTATTTCTCCTTTTGTGACTGAGATACTTCACTCAGCATAATGTCCTCCAGGGTCACCCATTTTGAATAATATTGCATGAGGTCCTTGTTTTTCTATCCATTCATTTGTTGATGGGCACTTAGGTTGCTATTGTGAACAAAGCCGCAATAAACATGGGTATGCATATACCTGCTTGGATGTCAGTTTTGGTTTCTTTGGGGTATATTCCCAGTAGTGGAATTGCTGGGTCAAATGGAATCTCTATTTGCAACTTTTTTTTTTTTTAATTACTTTTGTATGCGTGTACCGTCAAATCAGATCTTACTGGTACAGGAAGGAGGAGATTGTCCCTCCTTTCCCAGCAGAGCATCTGGTGGATTTGAACCGTTCGCATCTGTAATTGTAGTTGCAGCTCCTTGCCACTAGGCCACCAGAGCTCCCTTTACTTGCAACTTTTGCGAAAGCGCCACACTGCTTTCCACAGTGGTTGCACCATTTTACACTCCCACCAACAGTGAATAAGGGTTCCAGTTTCCCCACAATCTCGCCATCACGTGTTGCTTGCTGTTCTATTAAATTTTGCTATTCTGACTGGGGTGAGATGATATGTCATAATTGTTTTGATTTGCATCTCTCTTAGAGCTAGGGATTTTGAACATTTCTTCATGTGTTTGTTGACCATCTGAATGTCTTCTTTGGTGAAGTGTCTGTTTATATCCTGTACCCATTTTTCGATTGGATTATTTACCTTTATCTTGTTGTGGTGCTCAAGTATTTTATAAATTCTAGATATAAGTCCCTTATCTGATATGTCATTGTTGTTGTTGTTATGTGCCATCGAGTCGCTTGCGACTCATAGCGACCCTATGTACAATAGCCCTAAGCCCTGCTCTATCGTGTGCCAATCGCACTGCCTCCCACACACCCATCCCGATTACCCCAGTTACTGAATCAATCCACCTGATAGAGGGTCTTCCCCACTTGGGCCGTCCCGCCACACTCCCAAGCATGATGTCCCTTTCCAAGGACCTGTCCCTCCTTACAACATGTCCAAAGTATGTCAGACGAAGCCCCTGAATCCTTGCCTCCAAGGAGCAGCCTGGTTTAACCCTCTCCAGTATGAATCTGTTTGTTTTCTTGGCAGTCCAGGGTACATTCAATACTCTTCTCCAGCACCGCAGCTCAAAGGCATCAATTCTCCTTCTATCCTTCCTAGTAATTGTCCAACTCTCTGATGCATAATAAGTGATTGCAAAGATCATGGACTGTATCAGACGCACCTTAGTCTCCAGAGTGACACCATTGCTCTTCAGTACCCTGGAGAGATCCCTAACAGCAGACTTTCCCATTGCAATACATTTTTTTTATTTCCTGGATACTGGTGCTAAGAGTGTTACCGTGGAGCCAAGCAAACTAAAGCTGTTAACAATCTCAATCTCTTCACTATCCATCCTGATGCTGCCAATTGGTCCAGTGGTGAGAATCTTTGTCTTCTTGACATTGAGACTCAATCCATACTGAAGGCTGCAGTCCTTGACCCTCAGCAGCAAGCGTTTCAGGTTCTCCTCAGTTTCAGCAAGCAGGGTGTGTCATCTGCATAATACAGATTGTTAATAGATCTTCCACTAATCCTGATTACCAAATACTTTTTCCCAGTCTGTGGCTTCCCTTTTTACCCTGTTGGAGAAGTTTTTGGATGTGAATAGGAATTTGATTCTTAGAAGGTCCCATTCATCTATTTTATCTTCTGATTGTGAGGGGGATGATTTTTAAATTAAAGCAACGCGAATTATTCATTATTGATCCACATAGATCATTAATGTCCAATGTATACATATATACATATGTACATATACATATATGTTGTTGTTGTTGTTTGGTGCCGTCGAGTCGTAGACGACTCATAGCGACCCTATCTATGAACGAATAGCCTGAGCACTGTTCGTACATAGAGTTTCCGGAGGCAAGCCATTTCAGAAGTGGATGCGGCTCCTGCTTCCAGGCTTGATTTAGTCGGGAAGCTCCAGCCAACACTGTCCACCATGGGTACCCATTACTACGATTGGCACATATATATACATATATACACATATACATTATACATAAACACACACACACACGCACACATATATATATGTATGTATGTAAAAACACGTTCAGGTGAGAGCAAAAGAATAAATTGGGGAAACTGGAGATCTCAAAAGTGGCTACGCCTCTGAGATAATTTAAACTTTAAACCAAAAATATTGGTTTATTGAGAATGCTACACAAATTGAAGAATGTCTCCTTATAATGAAATTAAACCAGTAGAAATTTTTGAATTGGTGTATGTTTGATGTGCATATTTCCAGAAACATTAAGATAAATAAAATTTATATTTAAGAAAGAAAAAAAAAGACACCAAAGAAATATATTTCTAGAAAACACCCAAATATGTTTTGGAGAATGATCATTCTACTAACGTACCATTAGTACTAAATAGTACTAACGTACTAATTCCAAGATGGAAATGGATTTGTTTTCAATAGAAAAGAATGTACTATGCAAGTAAATTTCAAAATAAATAATATTTTTTTCAGAATCAATATCGAGGTTTTGGTTCTAATTTTTTTATCAGAATAAAGACACGTTTATTTTTATTTTTATTGTATTATTTTTATGTGTACCGTCAAATCAGATCTGACTGGTACAGGAGGAGATTGCCCCCTCCTTCTCCCGCAGAGCATCTGGTGGATTTGAACCGTATACCTCTGGGATTGAGAATAAAGACACATCTTTAGTTGTATCTAGTAACGACAATACTGGCGCATTCTTTTCACACGGATGGGCCAGTGGCGCAATGGATAACGCGTCTGACTACGGATCAGAAGATTCTAGGTTCGACTCCTGGCTGGCTCGCGACTTTTTTTTAGGGCCCCATCTTCCTTCCTTGTTTTTAAAAATTCTTTTCTTCTTCTTCAATACTCTTCACAGTGATGTTTGGATAATTGTTAAATTTTTTCTAATGTGGAGACTGATTACTACCTCCATCTGATACAGCGATGCTCCTGCATTGCCTGTCACTAAGGTCTAAAAGAGACTTTAGAAACTTGGAAGCTTCATCTTTTAAGATTTTCTTCTTCTTGTCGCTCTGATCTTCCTGAACTTGAGGAAAGAAGTTGGATGACATAAGCCCTTAAAACGAAAATCTTAAACTCAAAGAGGCTTTAAAGAAAGAAAAAAAAAAGTTTAAAAAAGATACTCTCCTGCACCAACTTTCTCCCCCCCACCCCCCACCCCCCCACACACATTGTTCAGAGTTCTTCCTTAGGGGGATCTCTCTCCTGTGCAGTTCTCTTCCCCTGGGCGTCACTCTTGGCAAAAAGGGACACGTGAGGGAAATCTTGACTCAAGAAAGGCACCCCTGCGGGGATGTGGGAAGAAAACGGGCCCTTGCCTTCAGGGCACAGAGCTCCACCCTGAAGGTAGTGGTCGCAACTGGATGGCCACTTCTCCACTTGGCCTCGCAATCTTCCAGAGGTAGGTATCAAGACCTAAAAAAATCTGTCCTCAGAAGATAGAATCGCATAGGATCTCTTTCATAGACAAGGTAAACCGGTTCAGGAGAGGATGAGGATGTAAGGGAAAGGTTCGAAGCTGCAGCTTTGAGGTAGGCGTCCCATTGACAAACTCTCACAGCGACCTGCCCAGGGCTTCTGACAAAAGGGCAGAGGGGCTGGAAGTCAATCATTGCTCTCAAAGCCAAAGCAAATAGGGAAATACTCCACAATCTTTCCTAGGAAAAAAAGATCACGTGTTTTCCCCCAAATGGGAAGAGAAATCCAAATTTCTGACTTTCTGACTAACAGTTTAGAGCATAACACACTACACCACAAAAACCCAACTTGAGAACAGGTTCCAAATATGTTTATAACGACGCCGGTCTGGACTCTAAGATGCACCTGATCTAGGTCATGGTCTTCGCAATTACTTGTTATGCATCAGAGAGCTGGACAATGACCAAATATGGCAGAAGATTAATTGAGGCCTTTGAGTTGTGGTGCTGGAGAAGAGTATTGAACACACCATGGACTGCCAAACAGAGCTGTCCTGGAGAGGGCGAAGCCAGGCTAGTTCTTGGAGGCAAGGATTCTTGAGACCCCATCTCACATACTTTGGCCATATTGCCAGGAAAGACCACTTCCTGAGAAGGACATCATGCTCGGAAGGGTGGAGGGACAGCGCAGGAGAGGAAGACCCCAGATGAGATGGATCGATATAGTAACTGGGGTAATTTGGGTAGGTGTGTCGGAGTCAGTGAGATCGCCTCAGGATAGAGCTA